TTTCCCTAAATTTCTACTGACCAGGGATTGTCAACTGTGAATTTTACTGCAATCTTGTTTTAAAAGAATTAAAAATGGGACAAATTAAAATTCTGCATTCAATTTGCCAGGCCTTCCTTTCATCACCTGATGACCACTTTTCAGGTGATGACTCGTCATTGCTAGAGATGCTTTGTAGAAGGTGGCTGTCATATTCCATTAACCCTTCCAGATGAAGGGGAGGTCATCTCCTTTACTTTTGAGAAAGCTAAATTTGGACAGACATCTTGAAAAACATGAGTCAGTCAGAGGGTACTAAGCATTAGGGAACTGAAAAAGACAAATATGTCTCAACTGAGCAGAGGGAAGATGTTTAAATATACTCGAGAAAACTGAAAAGCCAAGGTAGTGTCAGTGGCTCCAGTAGGAGTGAAGTGAAAGTGCATATATATTTGTGGCAGATAGCAACAGAGTATCAGACAGTGGGCTGAGAAAAAGTGAAGAAAAATAGAGAATTAACCTGCTTTTTCAACATCTGGTGCTACATTTGATAATAGACCTATCAATCTGTCGGAAAACTTTGTCTCAGTGTATGCAACTCATGAGCACAAGTGTTTGTAGACATCTGCTCTACAAATACATTTGAGTAGCATGTCCCTCATTCATTTGTACTGTTGTTTAGCCTTGATTTACTTCCCCAAAGGCTGGTTGTAGCAGAGGATCTATCCACTCACTGCACAATTCTGCAAATAAAATGGCTGCTAGATGACCAGTGAGCAAACCTTTAAGAAAAGACTTTAGCTTCCTTGCTACAGCTGCCATTTATAGAATCACAGATTTATAGAACCATAAAGGTTGGAAGGGACCTTAAAGTTCATCAAGTTCCAACCCCCTTGCCTTGAGCAGGGAACTCTACTTATAGACCGGGTTGCACAAAATATTACTCAACCTGGCCTTAAAAACTTACAGGGATGGGGCATCAACAACCTGCCTGGGCAACCCATTCCAGTTCATCACCACCCTTATAGTGAAGAATTTCTTCCTAATATCTAACCTAAATCTCCCCTTTCTCAGTTTAAAACCATTAAACTTGACCTATCACTATCTTCTCTGATGAAAATTCCCTCCCCAGCTTTCCTGTAGGCCCCTTTCAAGTACTGGAAGGCTGCTATAAGGTCTCCCTGGAACCTTCTCTTCTCCAGGCTGAACAGCTCCAACTTTCTCAGCCTGTCTTCATAGCAGAGCTGCTCCAGCCCTTTGATCATCTTCATGGTCCTTCTCTGGACCCTCTCCAACAGATCCATATATTTCTTGTGCTAAAGGCACCAGAGCTGTACACAGCACTCCAGGTGGGGTCTGACCAGAGCAGAGCAGAGGGGCAGAATCACCTCCCTGGCCCTGTTGGCCACACTTCTTTTGATGCAGCCCAGGATGCAGTTGCTCTCTGGGCTCCAGCACACACTGGCAGCTCATGTTGAGCTTCTCATCAACAACCACCCGCAAACTTATCTGCATCATCTTTAAAAAGTTCACCTGACTATTTCTGTCTGTATAACCATTTGAAAATTTTAGTCTTAAGAAGTTATCAGCTACCTGGCCAAGTGGTTACAAAGAGACACCAGAATTACTTGTAGCCCCACACTATATTATATTTTATTACTTTGCATAGTAAAAATGTGCTGTTTAAAAGTTATTTTTGTAGTGGTGATGCTAAAGTCTTACGACATTACCTTATATTACAGTACAGCAATATTACAATTACAAAATATTTGCCTTACTATAGATTACACATTTGGGATTTTTCCACACAATCTAGCAGTGAGATTCTCTCAATTACAAACCAAACCAAAAATTGCAAAGGCAAGGAGGGGGTTTGCCTGCTTGCAACTACTTTGTCTTCTGCCTTTATCAGAAAATAATAAAGAAAAAGACTTTAACATATGCATTTAGTTTTAAAGCATGAGATTTTACAAATACGTCTGGTTTCTAGAAAACACTTTTCTCAGAACTTACTTTCACTGGCTGAATAGTCTTGTGGATCAAGTATCCCTGACTCCTGCAGTGATCTAATACAGGAGTCCACCAGCTCCAGACCAGTGGTGAGCTCATCTTCTATATCCTTCTGACCGTCTGAAATAATATTAAAAACATAAAAATGTAAATGAAGTGATGAAAAGCAAAAGATAAACCAGTTACAAGACAAAAAGTAAAACCAGTTACATGTGACTAAGCATTCACAGCTACACTCTATCTCAATCTTTATGTTCTTTTATCATCCCTAACAAATCCTGCAGACGTTGCCAGTTTTTTAAGTAGGGTTATAACACACTAGCAATGAAAGAAATTGCATAAATAAATGTTTTCCCCAACATCTTCTTCAGAGAATATGATCATTCTGGTAGAGAGTATGCATTATACATAGATGTAGATACATGCATTACCTTGTGTTTGCCAGTGAAACTGCTCTTCTGTTGAACTGTAAAGAAAAAAAAGCAAGAGTTAATTTTTTATGAAATGATTCAGTAGTGTGCCATCAATATTCAGATCTAAATATATTCTGAAGGGACTTAAGAATAAGGGAACTGAGTTAACAACATAGATAAAATTATATATAAACTATTATTTTAGGTATTGTTTAATGAGTGACTTGCACAGCATTTGTTGAGCAGGATGGAAGGATCTTCACTTTATAATTAAGTCGTTTAAAACATACATATAGAAACTGCCCTCTTAGTCTCGATATCTGAATCACACTATTTCTAAGCAAAAATGTTCATATCTTTAAACTTTTTTTGATCTTTCTATTTGTCTGACTTTTTTATTTTGTAGAGAAATGTAAAAATTGCTTTCTGAAGTGAACAGTTACATCTGATTTCTAAAATAAATTATAAGCATGATTCCTCATTCTATTGACATCATGTATATTTTTATATTATTCAAATGTGCAACTAAGTCAATGCAATTGACTTACACAAGAGAGTAAATTTAGATTTGTTTGTACTTCCATGTACAAGCACTTAAGCAATAGAAGGTGTTAATTTTAAGATAATGAGCATGAACATCAGAGAATTAGCAAGGTAGGGTTTTTTTTCTATAAAATTAATATATTCAAATGAATAATAAAATGAATGATATATTCAATTAGGCAATGAGTACACTTTCCTCCAAGGTGTAGTCTGCTTATTCTTTAGTACAGAGCTTTCTCACATGCCAAGACTTCAAAGAGGACTGAAGTTACTCAGTAAAAATAATTCTTTTGATAACAGTGAACTGATTATTACAGTGAAGATTGTAACACTCTTCTATACATTTTTACAAGATATTTATAGGGTAAAACAAAATTATCTGTTGCATTCAACAGTTAAAAGAAAAAAACAAAACATAGAGAGATTATTATTTAACTTTTCAAGCTACATTTTTTTTTTCTTTCTGACATTGAGAATAAATGCAGGTTTTAATGAGTAAATAGGATTTAATGGATTTTAAATATTTTCCCTTTCCCATCAGATGCTGGATTTCTTACGTATATGTGAGTATAGCTCCTAGTATCTATATCTAGAACAAGAATAATGTAAATGAAATTAAATGCTTCCTTTTGGAGATATCTTTTTATAGGAGAAGAACTTGGGTCAATCATTAATCCAATTTGATAGTGTTAAAAACAGGATTATTGTCTAATATACATATACATAATCCTAAGAGGACAAGTTTTCATTTCTAGCTGGCATCAGAAGTGTTAACCTGACAAATTCAAATCTATATATCATCAGAAATTTCCAAATATCTACCATCTGTGATTTATATTGACTCACTGCAGTGAGACTTCATAGATATGAATCTAACCCTTCAATGAGACACTTGACTAAACCACTTGCATTGAAGCTAACAATATTGAAGATAAAAATAGCCAGAGTCCTCTGGCAAATAATAATGGCAAAGTGCTAAATTGGAAGAATTTACTTTAATTTAAACTAGTTTTTCAACAGGAGCCCTAGTGCATGGTGACTAGGACAGTGTCTCTTCTTGAAATACTCCTTTTTCCAAATTGAAATTCCTTTTACCCGACTTTCAGTATCAGTAAACTACTGCAGCCTCAGCTGACACACTGGCATTTGGGAGTGATATTCCTTTCTGGCATTAGCATCATATATAATTAGTAATGTATTACTTTCCACTGTACAGTCCCTCTCCTGGTATTCAGATTCCTGTGTGAAGATGCCACCTCAAAAGACAGAAAAACCTGCAATATCTTAGGTGGCAATCTGGCTGGCAGAATTAATTACTACATGTTGCTGGCAAGAACACACTGATGTGAAAGACTGTGCCACCTCATCCAAATCAGTGAGAAAAAAAAAAACAACCAACCAAGTCTGTGCATATCATTTCCAGAAATCCCAGATTAGCCCTTTTTAGGCAATAAATTTATATAAAGTATAGAAGTTCATTATTAGTATAGTACAGCTAGTATTAAATTAATCACTCGCGGCTGGTTAGTAGCAAACCCTCAGATCACTAGTCTGACTTCCACAGAAACATTTTAATGCATATGCTCTAAGAAATCTTAGATGGGAAGTGTCTAAAAAGGGATTGCAATAAATTTTGACTGTATTTTGGCTTTTCCAGTTTTAGTCAGGCTTCTACTCACAACTACAGTAATGGTCTTTTAATAAATACTGTAACTTTTATAGTCAAAGTAGCAGATTCACCATCATTTTTATTCTAATCCTACATTCTTATTCAAGATACAGAATATGGAACAGGCTGCCCAGGGAACTGGTGGAGTCACCAACCCTGGAGATATTTAAAAGACTTGCAGAGACATGGTTTAGGTTAGCGGTTGGACATTATGATCTTAAAGACCTTTTCCAATCAAAGTGATTCTATGATCCTGTAAATCTATATTAAAAGTGTATTTGCTCCTCCAAGGAGATCAATAAACTGATCCCTCAGTCTTGCAGACAAAAATGCAAAGGCTTTCCCTAGAAAATTCTCATTAGAATTTGCCATGGTATAAATTTAGCTGCTCTGCTTTTCTTTTTTTACTCCCCCCCCCCTTTTTTTTAAAATAAGCTTTTCCTGTTCTTGGCTTGACAAGGATTTCTGACTGAAGCAACCAGACATGTCTGTGCAGAGAGTGTGCCAAATCTGCTTGAGTGAATAAAAGTAGGTTTCTATTGTGCTTTTCTTTTAGTTGTTTTCCAGCTTCACAAGAGATCAGTAGAATTGACTGTGTACCCGTACCAAGAGAAGAATTCCCCTTAATTATTTTTTCAGCATGTTCAGCAAAATAAATCTTTCTACTTTATACATTTTTTTTAAAGAAAAGGTTTTGAATTCATTATCAACCACTTCTCTGGATATTTATATGCCTCATTATTAAAGTTTGCAAACTCTACCAACTTCAATTGAGGAAGCTGAGGAATAAAATACTTTATTTATTGAGTTCTGAACTGTAGAAGCCTGCGCCAAAATAGAGTTTTTGAAAGAAGGAGGGAGATTTTAACCAGAATTACATTAATATAGTATTGAAAATATTAGCATAAAATATTAATGAGCTGAGAAGTCAGGTAGGTATAATTATTACTCCCTTAGCCCAAAATCAGAATAATAATTATGATTTATTTGCTGTATTCTTCTCTCATTATTAATACTACATGAAGAATATAGATCTTGTAGAAATGGCCATTCTACCAAATTCTATTTGATTGATATAAAGATCCCTGTGTCACCATTCAACTACATGAAACTTTGATTCTTATACTTAGGTTATCTTTGGAAAACAAGATTTATTGAAGGAAAATTCTAGGGGAGCAGAGTAACTTAAGAATGGGAACATAATGCTACACAAACAAACAAACAAAACCTCAACAAACCAAACAAAAAAATCCCACAGATTTTGTAGTATGCTTAGTTCTGGATGTTCATCTTGAAGCAAATTAATGCATCTTCTATAAGGATGGACTGCACTGTGCCTAAAAGTTTACCTTCAATAACAACCTATGCAAAAAAAAATATTTCCAGTAAAAGTTGTTTTACCTCCCTAGGCAAGAATGAGCAAAGTAATCAAGTCACCTTGAGTAATCAAGATGAGTGGTCATCTTGATTCCAGCTGTACTCACATGTTTCCATTTTTGCACTCATATAATAAAAGCACTGAAGAAGTGAGAAATCTTTCATGTGTGACTGCGTGCTCGGAGAATGAAAGGCAAATGACCACAGCACACTGCAGGGAGCTCATTTTGGGGAACATCACATGAGCAGAGCACTTGAGGAGCTATACCTCTCTCTGCACAGCATGGAAAGATCAGAAGCACAAAGCATTGCAAAAATGCTGAGTTTCTGTGGTCAGCAAAGGATATCTGACTATTACCAATATTGAGTATGTTGAGTTTATCCCATTTCAGGCAGGGGGGGGGAAATCCTAGCCTGAGCTACAGTGCATCTATAAACAAGCAATGAATCAGGCCTCTGGGAGTCTTCATTACTTTTCCTTGTATCTCAAATAAAGATAAACAAGTGGATGTCCTCTTCAAGATGGACGTGATAAGAACTAGGCATGACAAGAGGGCTCTGTGGAGACAACCAATCTGTCCCAAAATGGCCAGCACCAGTGGAACAAGATGAGCTATGTATGACCATCAAACACCTCTTCCCACAATCTATGTGAGTCAAAAGCAGTTTTAGTGGTGTACAAGTGAATGCTTAATGTGACACCAACTCCTGAACTGTACTCACGAAACATGTTACTATAAAAGCAACCTGAATCTTCATGTGACCTAACTCAGATGTGGGGAAGACTGTTCAGCACTTTAGCAGAAGATCACACCAGACAGCATTGCCATGAGGCCTGTACAAACTCCAAGGATTTGCTCTTCAAAGCAGGTGCTGGGGAGCAGCAAGGACACCTGAACTCATGGGGTTGGGAGTGTGCCCATGGGTAAAGCAGCAGGGACAACAGTGAGGCAAAGGCAACTCAGATCAAACCCCTACCCCAATGCACACTTTTTGCACACTGCCTGGACACAGCAATACTTGCAGCATTGCTTGGGTTTGGTTTTAGAGGTTACATGGTGTAATATGAGACCTGACTCCCTTCACATGAATGCCTCTTGATAGTTTCTGAACCATTCAGTGCAAGAAGCTTCATCACACTGTACTCTCTTCTTCCAGTACAGTATTTATTATGCAGCCTGTGGAAATTAATTTTTCTTATCCTGTGCACCAATATACATAACAGTGCACATGCACATCAGGCCATAGGAGTTGGGTATTCAAGTCCTGTGCCTTACAGCTCTTTGGAAGAGCACCACAGGAAAGAAAACTCAGTCCTTGCTGGGGAGATGTGTAAAGTCTTCATTTAGCTGGTCTTTCTGGCACATCTTTTAATTTAGCATGGAGCCCTCAAACAGGCTGCCTGGGCAAACCCACATTTCTGTATTCCTTTAATTATCCAAGAAATGTTTGTGTGCCTC